TTCCCGAATGATCCTCTGAGCACTACCGGGAGTGACCCCTGAGTGCCACCACTTATAACCAAAAGCAAAAACAAAAAGAAGGTTTAGGAATTGAAAAAAATTAAGATCAAGGCTTATAGAACAAGAATATTTCTGTAGGGCTTTAGAATCTTTTTAAGCTGGTACAAGAAAATTAAAAGTGAAAGAAAAATTACGTTTGTAAACTAAAAAGGTTATAGTGAAGTAAGATTATTAACACAGGGCATTTTCTGATAGATTTCTAGTATCATAATTGGACAGTGTTTGTGTAGTCAGTTCTCAGACCCGCGCATTCAATCACAATCAGATCCCGACGCAGAAATATCTGCATCCACCTTATAGCGTTTACCATTTCTCTTTGTTTTTTCCTGCAGTTGGACTGTATCATTTATATGTCTAGATGTGCAATCCCGTGGAGTTACAGTTGCCTGCAGGGCTCGATACAGTTATCATGCTGGAGAAATTTGTATGGAGTAGCAAACAGGGTAGCACTGTCCAGCTGAGGTGTGTCTGTGTCCAAATCCAGCCCACAGAGCCTTCCACACACTGGCTGATAAAATTGCCTAGTGAGTTGTGAAGCTACAGGAGGCCGCAGTTCTATTTTAGGAAGGTATAAATAGTGGTATAGATGGTAGCTGGGAAAAAAATTTATGGAAGTAGTCTCTGAATGATCGCGTTTTTGAAAATTCTGGGTTAGGAGTCAGTATTGACTCCCCAGCCCCTCATTATATTGCAGGCTTTCTCCCTACCATCCACCTGGAAGCCTCATCCGTAGGCTGATGAGAATATGAAAATTATGCAGCTGGTTTTGTGAATAGCCTGGCAGTTCCTCTCATAGTTGAACCGAAGAGTTGCCATGTGATAGAGAAGTTCCATTCCTAAGCACATACCCAAGGCAAATCAGTCATATCTCTCTCTCTCTCTCTCTCTCTCTCTCTCTCTCTCTCTCTCTCTCTTTCTCCATCCCTCCCTCCCCCACCCCCTTTTGGGCCTTATGATTTGCAATACAGATAATGAAAGGTTATCAGGTATATCCCTTTACCTACTTTCAACACTCAGTTCTTGTCCACCATGATCATGTTTTTATGTTCCACAAATGTATGCAGTCATTCTATACCTGTCCCTCTCCTTCTGACTCATTTCACCCAGCATAATACTCTCCATGTCCATCCACTTATAAGCAGAATTCATGACTTCATTCTCTCTGATGTCTGTGTAGTATTGTGTAGTTATATCATAGCTTCTTTATCCAGTCTTCTATTCTCAGGCATACGGATTGTTTCCAGATTCTGGCTCCTGTGAACAGTGCTGCAATGAACACCGAAGTGCAGATGGTGTTTCTGCTGTGTGTGTTTGGGCACCCAGGGTATTACATTAATATTACATTAAATTTTTTTTTATACTTGGATCTTATTATGGTAATAATTTTGTCCTACCTATCATTAATAAAACTTTTAAAGCAATGATCATCATCATTCATTAGGCCCTCCCGTTGATCGTCGATTTGCTCTAGCGGGCCCAGTAACGTCTCCATTGGAGACTTTGTTGTTACTGTGTCTGGCATATCGAATACTCTCGGTAGCTTGCCGCGCTCTCCGAGAGGGGCGGAGGAATCGAACTCGGGAAAGCAATGATGTGTTAATATATTTTGGTGTTTACATGGAGTAGGTAAGGAAGTGGTATTATTGGGTCAAATGGGAGCTTAATTTCTAGTTTTTTTTTTTTTATTAGTGAAACACCATGAGGTACAGTTGTAGATTTACAAATTTTTGTGCTTGGATCTCGGTCATACCACGATCAAATACCCATCCCTCCACCAGTGCCCATTTTCCACCACCAGGATAATATCCCTCCCCCCCCCCCCCATCCTCCCACCCCCACATCCCCCCCTGCCACTGTGGCAGGGCATTCCCTTTTGTTTTCTCTCTCCTCCTGGGTGTTATGATCAGCCAAAGAGGCATTGAGTGGCGAACATGTTCAGTTTCTAGTTTTTTGAGGAATGCCCATGTTGTTTTCCAGAAAGGCTGGACCAGTCGGCATTCTTACCAACAATGGAGAGTCCCTTTCTCCTCACATCCTCACCAGCACTGGTCGCTCTTGTTCTTTTGGGTGTGTGCCAGTCTCACACAGCGCATTCTTCGTGGTGCTCTCTGGCCTTGCTTCTTGGTTGTGTTGCTTCTTGGTGCTTGTCTTGGGTTGCCCATTTCTGCAGTGGCACACATGGGAATCCTGTATTCTCGCCAGGGCTTGTGCTTCCTGGCCTTAGTGTTGACACCTCTGTGCAGCTGTGATGCTCACTGGGCCTGCGTCCTTTCATTGTGCTTGCCCACACCTGGTGGCAGTGTGGCTGGAAAGCACTTTTAGCATCAGAGCTAGTGACAGGACTCTTGGGACTCTGCTTGTGTCTCAGCTTCTGATTTCATGCTCTCAGGGTAGACAGTCTGCCTCTCATCCATCCCCGCGCCCTCTCAGTCATTCTTGGAAGCAGTTTGCTTCTGTGTAGTACTTTGCATTCTGTGTAGTACTCTGCCCCTCACTGCACTCCCCCTACCCCGTCCTGTTCCTCAGGACTGTGTCTACGCTTGGCTGTGCTGCTTGCGCTTTGTGTTACCGTGTCGGCCGGGGGCTGTGCATCACATTGCAGGGATCGCACACTCCTTCCATCCATGCTCGCCCATGTGCTCGCAGGGGGGGACACTCTTTCCAGCTGTGCTTGGGAACGCCCTGGTTGCTATGTCTGCCAGGGGTGGCCCTCTTATTTTGTGGTTCCCTCGCCAGGACTTGCACTTCCTGGCCGTCGTGCCGACACCTCTGTGTAGCTGTGTTGCTCACTGGGCCTGCATCCTTCTGTTGTGCTTGCCCACACGTGGAGGCAGTGTGGCTGGAAAGCACTTTTAGCATCAGAGCTGACGGGCACAAATGACGGGACTCTTGGGGCTGTTTGCCACATGCGGTGGCACCGGGGATTGAACTTGCAACCTTTATGCTTGTGTGACACGCACCCGAAGCCACTGTTATGCCCTGCCCCCAGGGTTTGAATTTCTTTGAGTAAAGGTCTAGCCTCATTATTTATTTATTTATTTATTTAGGGATGTGGGTTTGTGTAAAAAACTATGCAGGCAGAAAGTTGTGTGTTCGCGGGCTCGCTGGACGGCTCTATCTCACCGGCTCTATCTCACCGCCTGTGTTCGGTGCCCTAGAGCTGCTGTGTTTGGCCTGCATTGGGACGGCTGTTGACCAAGGGCAGATGAAGGAAGAGACGAGGGCCAGGCCGGTTGATCTTAGTGGCAGTTTATTACAAGGAAGTTTATCCCATAGAAGAACTTATGTTATGGAGGGCCTAGGTTCCGTCAAGCACAAGTTCTCCTTGCTAGTCTCTCTGTGGTCCATCTTTCAGCCCTGCTCTCTCCTTCTCCAGCTCCCTTCTAGACTGGGCTGACACTCCACCCAGTCAGGTAGCCAAATCAACATAAGAAAGCCCTTCCTGACTGCTCAAGGGCAAGATACCTCTTAGGGTACTTTTCTCTTTTCCTCAGTCCAGTAAACTATCAACTATTCCTGAGGTTATGCAGGAAGGACAGAACAGTGTTATCCTACAGGTTTGGGCCACATTTGTCAGTACTTTGGGGGATACTTTTGACTCTGACCTGAGGAATCACTTCTAGTTCTGTGTTCAGGGAACCTGTCGTACCTGGGCGTGAACGGGTGTCAGCCGCATACAAGGCAGGTGTCTCCCCTGCTGTACTCTCTCTCCAGTCCCAGTTGGTCTGCATTGAATTGGCCCCCAGAAAAGTCGGATTTGTTCTATGTAGAGCTTATGTAATTGATAAGATGTTCTGACAAAATTTCTGTTAATAATTAAAAAAAATTTTTAGGCCACATCTAGCTGTGCAAGGCTTACTCATGGCACGGTGCTCAGGGATCACTCCTGACAGGCCCGAGGAACATATATAGGGTGCTGGGGATTAAACCTGGGCCACCCACATACAAGGCAAGTACCCTACCCACTGTACTATTGCTCCAGGCACAATTTATGAAATTTCTTAATGGGTGGGTTATGGTCTATTGAGACTAGTTTGCCATCATTTTAGTAAAAAGATTTAAAGATGAAATAGAGGCTCAGAGAGACAGTACAAAGATTAAGGTGCGTGTCTTTCACGCTGATTCTGGTTTCCTGCCTAGCATCTCCTGGCACCTTGAGCACTGCCAAGGGTCACTCCTGGAGCCTAGGAATAGCCCCAGAGCACTGCCAGGTGTGATCCTGTCTCCTCCCCACAATAACATAGAATCTGTCATTATCACTGTTGCTGTCCTCCTGTTGTTGCTTGATTTGCTCAAGTAGGCACCAGTAACGTCTCCATTTGTTCCTATCTGCTCGCTCCAGGAACATGAAGTCAGAATTGTTGTTACTGTTTTTGGCATATGGAATATGCCATGGGATACTCTCAGTAGCTTGCCAGGCTCCCCGAGAGAGATGGAGGAATCGAACCTGGGTCGGCCTTGTGCAAGGCAAACGCCCTCCCGGCTGTGCTATTGCTCCAGGCCAATAACATAGAATAGAGAAGGAAATATCAGTAGTGCATATCACAATAGAGAGAAATAATGCTTCATGAAACAAGTTTCAGTTAAACATATGTGGGTGAACTGAGTCAGGAAATGATTCGTGTGTTTATAGGCTCAGAAATTGTAGCTAGAAAAATCGCTTGAAGCCTCTGGGTTAGGATGCCCTTAACTAGTCCAGTGATTAATACTATTTCTCTTTCATTTTACTTACTTTCTGGAGACCACTGGAGTGTTTGAATATCTAGGATGGTGTATTTAAAACATGCTGTATCACATACAAGCAGGCAGTGTGAAGGAGTGGTTTTACTATATGTTAATTCTATGTAGAGAGACGGTTAAAGGGATATTCCTGTCTTTTTATGTATAAATATGATTTTTTGATAATATGATGACTAGTAACATATTTGGTTTTTATTGCAGGAATCAAAGCCTATGGGTTTATGTGGTATTTGAGCTTCTTGGCACAGAAGGGGGCTAAAGGATGATGGTAAGTAGGTTACCTTAAGAAACTCACAGTATTTTGTTTTTTATTTTCCTCCTTTTCTTCCTTCCTTTCATCTACTTTTTAAAAAACTTATCTTTTTGATATAATATTGCTACATATGATATACTCAGTGGCCTTGCTTTAAAAAATTTTTTTATGTATGAGTACTGCTATTTTTTCAGCCATTGATTAAGCTGATTGAATTGAGCATGAACTCCACATTACTTCAAAAATAATTTTTTTTACATTAGATATCTGTGAGATAGGCCATTTCAAAGTTGCTCATAATTGGATTTCAATCCTACAATGGTCCAGTATCTATCCCTCCACCAGTGTACATTTCCCACCACCAATGTCCTGTTTCCTTACCACCATCCCCCAACCCCCAGCCTCCACGCCCACTCCCTCTATGGGAGGCCCTTTCCTTCTTTCTCCCTCCCTCCTTCTCCTTTTGTGCATTATGGTTTGCAGTACAGGTGCTAAGAGGTCATGGTATTTGTTCAGGGCATTTGGTATTTTTATCGGGACAGTCAGGCTGAAGTAGCTTTTCAGTTGGGTGGCAGCTTTTGGGTGTGGAAGTGACTGCTGAGGCTTCTGGAAGTACAGGGAGGTGGGGAGAGGTAGCCCATCCCGGCCCCAAGAAAGCCTGGAGATTTCAGTCACAAAACTCGCATACCAAAATTTTCAGCAGATTGTATCTTGGTGAGGTCTGTCCTGAGGTGGTGGAGTCATGCCAGGGTTATGGCAGCGATTTTGGATTGTGGAGGCAAGCAGCTGCTGGGGGTCCTGCTTGGCGAGGCACAGGTCAACCTTCCCCCCTCCAGTTTACTGTGGTCTGTTCAGCCTTGTGCAGGTCCGAGATTAACTGTGGCTTTTGATCTCTTTCGACATCTATTTATGGGTCTCTGAAATAAGACCAATAAATGAGCCTGTATAGCAGAGCTGGAGGTGGTTTGTGGGTGTGACTCCCATGTACCTAACTTTTGGCTGTTTAATTTCTTGGTAAACTTGGTCCCAAGTTGTAGGGGTCTGGCCAAAGACACAGCAGCAATTTTTGGGTCTCAGGAAGCCTGAAGTTACCATCAGGCTGCTGATGCACTCACCCCACAGGTACAGGTTGACCTGCTAGCAGCACCATACCCCGGGCCTTGCTTCTTAAACTGTGTCTCGTGACCCCATATTGGGCTGAATAACTGAATGTGAGGGTCTTAAAAAGATTTTTTCTAGTTGTGTAATGACCAAAAATCAGTTCAAGTGAAATGTATAATAAATCGAGGTGTTTGGGGCAGCTCTTACCGTGTTGCATTTCTTTGGCAAAAAGTGGTGGTGAGAAGAGAAAAAAATTTAAGAGCCCTATGTCTGGGTCACCTTTGTTGTAAAGGACAGTGATGAAGCGAACCGTTGTAAATGTGATATTCATTATTATAGTCCAGGCCAGCCTCGCTTGGCCAAGACGGGACTAGAGATGGAAGCCAGCTTCTTTATGTCTTATCAGTCACGCAATGCCAACTTGGCCGTTTCTGATTCCCAGGGGCTGGCCAGCTTTGAAAGCAGCACATTCTCCTCGTGGCAGGCAGAACCAGAAGCCAAGCTTGGGTGGTTTGTGAGTCTGGGATGGAACCCGAATGTGGCACAAGCCCCCAGAGAGCCTGGGCACACTGGACTTTCTCAGCAAGGTTTTCAGGCAGTTCTTAGAATCTTCTACGAGACTTCTCAGACAACAATGGAGTATAGTTATATGGGGAATCCAGTCTGCCTATTTAATTTTTGGAGGGAGGCCACTTCATTTGGGATGAGCATTAAAAAGGAAGATAATTTCAAAGTGATTTCTTAGCTCAGAGGCTGTGATTTGACTTCTGTCCCCCTCACCCCTTTTACGGAATGGCCTGGTATGGTATGTGTGTGCGTGGGAGAGGGGGAGGGTTTGAGTTCAGTTTGTAAATGAATTCTCTTCTAATTCCTATTTGTTCATTTAGTTATTGATTATCTTTAGGTTTGATATTGATAGGATTTTTTTTTTGAGGGGAGGTGCATACCTGGTGGTGATCAGGGATCTGTCCTGCAGTACTTAGGGGGACCATATGTGGCTCCAGGGGTTGAATTTGAGGCAGCTGCGTGCAAGATAAGCCCCGTTCCCTGTGTATTATCTCTCTGGCCAGATGGAGGAATCCTTTCAAGTGAATGGTCCAGCTTTGTGCAGTGTCAGTGTCGTAGCCAGTGAGGTTTATCCAAGGCATGATTATTGCTAATTGAAAATAAATAAATAAATAAATAAATAAAGTTAATGGTTCCGGCAGGAGCTCTGTGCTCTCCCTCCCTCCCCTCCCCTTTCCATCCCTCCACCTTCCACCCCTCCCCTCTTCCCCTTCCTCCTCCGCTCCGCTGCCCTCCCTTCCCTCTTCCTTCCCTCCACTTCCCTTTATGTCATTGCAAAAGGGACTTGGGTTGTGTCTGAGCTTGCCATGCTTATACAGTTTAGTTGTGATGCTTGCTGGGGATCCCACACTTTGGTTGTGGTATGTGCACGCAGGTGTGCTATGGATTGCGCACCTTTTTTGTGGTACCAGGGATCAAGCCTCTCTTGCAAAACACAGTACCCAAAAGAAGAGAGAGAGAACAAGGGGGAATACCCTGCCACAGAGGCAGGATGGGACGGGGGCGGGGGATGAGGGTGGGGGGGATGCTGGGACCCATGGGGATGGATGACGGGCACTGGTGGAGGTATGGGGACTTGATCATTGTATAACTGAAACCCAAGCACAAAATTTGTAAGCCTATAACTGTACCTCATGGTTTTTCACAAATAAAAAAAAGAAAAAAAAATTCAGTGCTGCCAGGATTACACTTAGTACGTGGGGTGGTACCAGGGACCATCAGGCGCCTAGTCTCATGCTCACCGTGCAGTCATGAGCTCCCCCTGAGCTGCCCTGGACCCTGGCTGGTCTTTTGTGGAAAATTTCTACTACTGCACCTTCAGGTTTGCTGCTCTCATTTGCAGCTTCTCTGATTCTCTGGTTAGCCCCTCTGTTAGCTCTCTAATTTTTACTTTTTGGGGGGATTGATTTTTGGGGCAAAACCCAGAGATACTCAGAGGTTACTCCTGGCTCTGCACTCAGGAATTACTTCTGGTCGTGCTCAGGGGACCATGTGGGATGCTGGATGTTGAATTCAGGTCCACTGCGTGCAAAGCAAGTGCCCTACCTGCTGTACTATCACTCTGGCCCCAAACTCTGTAGTTTTTGTTTGAACTTCATACTTTGTTGGAGTTTCCCTGGCCCTTTTACACTGCATTTAAACAAATGTTAATTTTGCTGTCGCTCTTCAGTTTTTCTAGTGTTTATTGGAATTTTAGTGTGTTTCTGATGTGCACAAATTAAAAATATGAAAGGCTTTCACATGAATTTAAGGCAGTGGTTCTTCCCTAAGAAGAGAGAAGGACATTTTATTTCTGGGCCTAGCAGTATTGTGGATGGAATTTTAAGAATCTGTAGAAGCTTTTATAAGATATAAACATAAAAATTTAGCAAGTGATGCTTGAAACTACTTCAAGATTATGAACAAATTTGTTAAGTGTGGCAGTGTTCAGCCATTTTTTAAAATCTGGGAGAGAGGTAAGTCGACCATTTTCAGGTCCAGGAGCAAGTCTCAGGACAGGTATTCTCCCCTCCGCCCCCATTTTATTAAAGCACCATGAATTACAAAGTTATTCATAGTGGGAATTTTGACATACAATGTTCCACCTGCAATCCCACCACCAGTGTCGGCTTCTCTCTACCAGTGTACCCAGGTTCCCTCTCCTTACCCTCTTCATTTAAAAAGATATTTTAGCACCAATCCCGTGTGTGCACGCCACCCCCCCACTTGTGTCCCTGTGTCACCTGGGACAGTGTGGTCCCTGTCCCCATCTGTCTGTAGGTTTTGCCATCTGAGGCCAGTCCATGAGTTCTTTGGTGATCCTCCCTGCGTTGCATGCCCTAAGAGTTGAACATAAGATTTCACTCAAGGCTTATGGTTGTGCACTTGCTTTTTCATGGAAACACAGAACAAGCCTCTGTAAGATCTCCTCAGGGTGCTAGGTGGCACACAGTGACTCTGGGTGCAAAGAGATTGAGTTGAAATCTTGTGGAAGAAAACAACTAGCAGGAGGCAGTTTTTGATACAGATGTCTGTAAGGCGAGGAAGTGTCATTCATTAACTGCTCCCACAACCCTGATGCTGGGCCAAAGAGAGGAAGAGGACGGGTAACTTGCTTTGCACGTGGGACGCTAGGTTCAGTCCTCATCTCTGTGTGATCCCCTGAGCACTGAGCTGAGAGAAACCCCTGAGTATCTTGGATCCTCAAACCAACTAGCCATCCAGCCAGCCAGGGACTGGAGCGATAGTACAGTGGGTAGGGCGTTTACCTTGCATGCAGCCACCTGGGTTTGATCCCTGGCATCCTGTATGGTCCCCTGAACACTGCCAGGAGCAATTCCTGAGGGCAGAGCCAGGAATAGACCCTGAGTGTCTCTGGATATGGCCCCCAAACCAACCAACAAAACAAACAAACAAAAACCCTAAAGCGTAAATCAAAATGTTTATTTATTTTTTTAAAGTTATTTTTTCATTTTATTTAAACACCATGGCTTACACAAAATTGTTCATAATGTAGTTGTGAGGGGCTTTTGAGGTTCCCAGTTCCACTACCTGAGTGACCTTCCCTCCACCATTGTCCCCATTTTCCAAACCACCCCCCCACACCTGCCTCCTTAACACAGTGATTTGTTTTGTATTGTTTGTTACAGCCAAGTGGCTGAAAGAATTATCAACAGTATTTCAGTAAAATTTGTGAAAATCGTTACATCTACACTACAGAGATAAGTCTTTGAGGATTTACTCGATTGAAATGTTTAGAACATCACACTTGGAAATTACTGATTCTTTCATAATTGGATTATTTAAAAGTGATTAGAATTTGATTTCTCACTGAAAAGAACTCATTTAACTTTTATTATGAGAGGCAT